AAAAAAAAAAAAAAAAAAAAAAAAGAAATAGGGGAACATGATGCATAATGAAGAAAGTAATCAAAACCAGCTGGAGCTGGCACAAATGTTAAAATGAGAGAAGAAATAAATTTAAATAATTATTGAACTGTATTCCATGGGTTCAAAAGGTTAATTAGAGAAATTAAAAAAGAGGCCTATATTGAATTTCTAGAGCTGAAAACTATAATACTTGACATAAAAATGCAGTTAATGGCACCAATGGCATGTTACACAGGAGAGAAAAAGATTAGTTGAAGATACAGCAACTGAGACTCTTCAGAATGAAACTAGAGAGATAAGGAAGTTATTTTATGTGCAAGAGCACCAAGGAGTAAGAGAGAACTTCAGTTGAATTATATATATGCAACGGGCATTCCAAAGGAGAGAAAGTGTTGATTAGATAGGACAGGAAACAATATCTCCAAATTTAATAAAATTATAAATAAAATATAAACACAAGAAACATGAAGACAGCTACATCAAGGCACACAACAGTCAAACTGCTTAAAGCCAGTGCCAAAGACAAAACCTTAAAAGTGCCTGGAGAAAAAAAAGATACATTTATTATACAAGAAAAGAGATAAGAGCGGCAGCAGACTTCTTATCAGAAACAATGAAGGAAATGGTATTGGTAGGCTGGAGAATCATAAGCAATTGGTCTTGGTAACACTTAAGGCCTGAAGTGGCTAAGCGGGGACAGAGCAGCTGTGGCAGGAGACACCTCTGTACAGGTGAGGAAAAATTTGGGGTGCTCTTTTATAGACATGGAAACTTATTGTGGAGATTATGGAAAGACATTAGAGATTTCTGGCCAGGTAGATAGCTAACTTGCATGTTAGAAAAATCATGACATTGGTTACCCAGGGTTAGTAGATAGAAGAACAAATTAATGGGAAAGGATGGTTTGGAAGATCAGGAGACTGGGGAGAGTGAATGTAACCTGAAGGAAATTATTGCAGTCGTTCATTCATTCATTCAGTATCTACCTAAGTCCTATTTACCAAACTTGGAGCCAGTACCCCAAGACAGTGTGTGGGGCAAAGTAGCTGTGTATATAAAGCATGTGAGTCTGTAAGTATGTTGTAGACATGTTTGTATGTTAATATGAGTAGATGGGTTTTATTCTCTGCAGCAGCTGCACAGTTTTTATTGATCATTCCACAACATTTTTGTCTTTTAGGTTATGCAAGATACAGTGATGAATAAAAAACTCCTTGCATTTGTGAAGCTTACAAACTAGACAGGGGTGGAAATGGAATACAATAATACACAAATGCAAATATATAAGTGCAGCACAGCTCATCCAATGAAACACAGTAGAGACCTATTTACTCTTTACTGTGGGCAAATAGCAGGCTTTCCGCAGCATTCCTGAACAGCTCAAAGTTTTTTGTAGTAAAAATCTATGATCACAAATGTTACCCTCAGGCTTGGCTAGGAAAACTAAGTTAGTAATTTAACAAGTTATAAATTTCAGATTTATGGTTAAAATGTGAACATTATCACCAAATATTGGAAAGAAGTTTCTTGGAGGGAAAATTTCATTATGTCCTTTATATGCTGAAATTCTATCAGTTTGTTGAAGAATAAAATTATATATATTACAATATGAGTAAAATACTGCAATATTTAATTAAGGGGCCAAAATTGTTAGTTTTATGTAAAGTCAAACACTAAGTACTTTCAAATGGTTCAATACTGGAGTAGATAACATGTCATACAACTGAGAAGAGAGACTGTGCTATGTATATAATTTTGGAAAAATATTATATATTTTTGTACTAACAAATGTTTATAAAATGTTTTACTATCAATATTACAGTAGTACTAATAGTGATGATGTTAATGATGATTAAGTTATATCATTTTTATAATCTCTGTAAATTATCTACAAAAACTCATACCACTAAACAATATAATTAAAAAAAACTATTTAAGCTTTACTTAATTCCATTTTGGTCATGAGTGTTTTATTTGGGACATTTTCATACCTCACAAGGATGGGTTAAGTATAACGTTTACTTTGGTCAAAATATCACAGGAATGAAAGATTTAGTAATCAAGCTCAACAGTGTCTATGGGAAATCATCTTCAATAAAGACATAATAAAGAATCTTAAGGCAATAAAATATTAGGGAAAATGAAGCACCTATAACACATTTTGTTTACTAACCTGTCTGAAAATACAGACTGTTAGAATCTCTTCAGAAGACAATTCCTTATAGTTATGAGCCTATGATGACTAAACACTTAAAGAACTGTTAAGACATTTGTTATAACTTGTCTGCTATTTTCAATAGTTAAAGATGAAGGGCTTCTGAGGTATGTATATGAATCTTAGATAAAAGCTCCTTCTAGAAAACACATACTACAAATCTCTTCCTGAGTTATAGTTTGCTTTGAACACGGAAGGCAGTAACATCATTAAACGTTCTACTTTTTAAAATCATACATCAAAACTTTGGGGATGCAGGTGTCTTTTATAAAGTTTGACAGCCTGGTGGAGTAATGATAAATTCAACTCTACTCCTCTTAACTGGCTTGCTGAAAGATTTCAGTGCTCTCACAGTCAACAACATAGTGAATCTGATCAAATAAATAGCTACGGAATAGAAAATGAGAGAAGAAATTGTCATGTGATTGACATTGACAATGAAATAAATATAGTGAAAGCTGTGTGTGATTTGAGAACTGCAATCAATATTTTGTTCACACCCCTTAGTTGGGTATTTAGAAAGTAATTATACACAGAACATAACAACCTTCCTAAGCCATCACTCCAAGATGAGGGACCACCTATCAATATTCTTCATTGACCTAAGGCAAGTCTCCTTAATGGTGTGGTTTAGACCCCGCAGTGTCCTCCAAGGCACTTGTGCACTTACAGCTGTAGCTTTGGAGGGTGGTTGGGTCATGGAGGTGCTGCACACATCACCCTGGAGGTGGGATGAGGCCTGGAAGGGTGTATTTCCTTCCCCAGCTCTTCCCTTCTCTGTTTCCTGGCTGGCATGGCATGAGCAGTCTTCTCCATGGCAGACTCTTCTACCATAATATTTCTGCCTGGGAGTGGCTGACCATAGACTGAAGTTGTGAGCTAAATGAAACCTCCTCCTTTAAATCATCTGTAGGTTACTTATAATATGTCAAAAATGCAAATTCTGTGTAAGTAGTTGTTGTGCTACATTGTTTAGGAATAATGACAGGGAAAAAGTCTGTTCATGTTCAGTGCAGGTGCAATTTTTTTCCAAAATGTTTTCCCTGGGATTGGTCAAATCAGTGAGTGCAGAACTCCCGGATACAGAGGGACAACTATATTTGGCAGACAAAACTGTCAACATTACAGGATTTACCAGCAGCCAAAGAATTGCTTGAAGAGGAAGAGTTTGCTTTCAGAACCCACTGGAGTTGTGACTGATCCTGGAGCACCTGGGGTGTACACAGACTCATTACAAGACACCTTCCTTTGTATTCTTCCTGTTTGACCACAGCAAAGGTGCTGTCCTGATCTTCATGCACTAGAAGATACGGACGCAAAGTCAAAGCTAATTTTATTATGTTGAAACGAAACTACACGGTTCTGTTGCAGTATTTTTAGCTCTAGCTTATGGGCAGAATTTAAAAAGGTGATTCTGTGGTTTGACAGACACATGCAACAATATTAGAAACCCCTGCTGTCATCAGCAAGGGCAGAAAGCAGCTCCAGGCCATGCTCACAGTCTGCACGTAGGCTCAGCAGCGCCACTACTGTCACCCACAGTGGGAAAGGAGCGCCCAGGAGGCCCAGAATGAAAAAGCCGTCCTCAGAGATTCTGACCTCTTAAGTCTGTGATGTAACAGTGAGATCCCTGTGACACTAGTGACTGCAAGAAGCAATCTGCCAGGTGAAGGAGTGCTATTCACCTATTATCTGACTTTAAATATCCACATTTCTGAATTAGAGGTGATGGTGGGTTGGACTGAGATCACGACACTGGGAGGAGTCGGTGGTGATTGGATGCTAGTAGAACTGACCACCTTTGTCAGGTGTAGGGTGTGATGGTGGAGGGAAGGAGGGCTTGTTGGACGACCTGAAGGTTGGGGGCCTGAGCGTCCGGTTGAGTGGAGATGCCACTCCTAAGGGACGGAGGGCTAGAAAGGGTGCTTTGGGAGTGGTGGTGGGAGATGTGGGTACAAGTGTTTGGTTCCGAGCTTGTTAGGTCCCACTCTTCTTGCTGCCTTCTCTGGCTCCCCCTTCATAGCCCAGAGGTCTTCAGCTGGACACTTCCCAAATGGAGCCACTCAGCTCCTCAAACCACCCACCTCTTCTTCGCCGCCATTTCAGTCCATAGCAACTCCCTCCGTCCAGCGGCTCAGGCCAAAACCCTTAGATTTCGGCCTTCCATTCTTTCTCTTCCCTCCCTTGTCCTTGCCCTCTCTCTGCCCTTTTAAGAACTTGTATTGTCACTACATTTAGAATGAAATTCATAATCTGGTCAGTTCTCCCTGCCTTAATTGCTAAAACCTTGTTCCCCAGCCACCAACATCTCTTCAGAACGGGCAGAAGGTCCCACCCAGTCTCCTTGCCTTCTCTCTCCCTTCCTAAACCTGTTTTCAATGTAGCTGGTGGAAACACACTTCAAGAACGTAAATCAAGTAGGTCATGCTACTTATGTGCTTAGAGCCATCCAAGCCCTCCCTGTTTCACTCTACGTGAAACAGAAACTCCGGGTTGGCCTCTAAGTTCCATGTAACCTGGCACCCATCCTGCATCCTGCCCTCCTGACTTTATTTACTGTCTTCTCTCCCATCCCTTCCCTGCTATTCCTCTGCTTGCTGGGACCCATTCCTACCATGACCCCTGTACTTGCGGTGTCTTCTGCCAAAATGCTCTTCCAGCTACAAGGCCAGGCTCACCCCAGCTCTCTCCAGCTTGTGTTGAATGGTCTCCTTCTCCAGGATGCCAGGCCTGTGGCCGTGCACCCTTCCTGCCCTATTCCTCTATTCTATTATTGTGGCACTTCTCTTTTTATTTTTCACGTGTTGTAAAATACTCTAATCATTCTTAGCATCTCACAGAACGCAGTATAAAGTCCAGGGCTAGGGCATCTGTCTGCATTTGCTGCTGTATTCCAGGCACTCAGAACAGTCCTGGCTCCCAGCTGCACGCCCTGAATATTGCTGGGCATTGAACAATGGACCATCACATCACAGATGTCTCCAATTAGGACAACACCAAACATGTGGGCAGTGCGATCTGCCAATTTGGTGGTTCCTCATATGAATATTAAAAAATAGTCTGTGCTGGTAACAGGCGAGGCTGAGTCCTGTGAGGCTATATGTAGAAAGGATAAGGCATCAAATGTTCTCATCCTGGGTACGTCAGCCCTGGCCCTGCATGACCTAAAATAACCCACAAAGCCCTGCAGCACACCTGCCCACTTGAATGGGGCACGTCCAAGTGGGGTATGCTGCAGCCTCCCTGGGGATGTCCGGCAGGCAGAGACAAGTGGGGTACACTGCAGCCTCCCTGGGGATGTCCGGCAGGCAGAGACCTCAGCTTGGAATATTCTCAGGGGTGTGTTAGCACCACTCAGAGCCGGATGGCCCAGGAAGCTGGTGTGTCTCTGAGCTGAGCTACATGGGATCTGTCTTCCAGTGTTGCCTATCCAGTCCTTTTTTTTTTTTTTAAAGAGAAAAAAATTCAAAATTTCAAAACAAGATAATAGGAGAGTACCAATGGTTAATACATTGTGTATTGTATCTTTAAACTAGTTACATTGTGTATTGTATCTTTAAACTAGTTATATCTTGTACTAGAGTACAAGATATAGGCATGTAATTGTCCAAACAATATTAGCACAAACCTTTCTTTTCAATGAACTAAGAGAAATTAGTAGCATCTTAACTCTCATTTGCTCTTTCCTTCCTTTTTTTCTCCTTTCTCCCATCCCAGTTTCTCTTCCCTTTTGAGCAGTTTCTTCCTATTTTATAATACCTATTGTACATTTTGGATCTTATTTACTCTTTCAGTTTCTCACACTAGGGAGACAATATGATATTTACATATATGAGTCTGATTTATTTCACTTATGGGTATGGTCTCAAGTTGCATCCATTTACCTATAAAAGTCTCCAGGTTATACATCTTTATGGCTTAGTAATACTCCATTGTACAAAAAGACCATACCTTTCTTATCCATTCCTTGGCTGATGGGCATTGGAGTTGTTTTGCCAAATGCTTCTGTTTGTGAACCAAATTGTTAACAAACACAAGTGTTTGTGAACCAAGGTACCACTGCACGTTTATAATTGTTATTTCTTCCAGTGAAATTGTTACCTTAACCAATATATCATGCTTTTCTTTGTCTCTTCTGATCATTTTTGTCTTGAAGTCCACTTTGTGTGAAAATAGAATAGCTCTTCTGCCTGTTTTGGGTTGCACTGGAATGTAATATTGTTTTCTAACCTTTGATTTTTAGTCTATGAATTTCCTTTTGGATTAAATATGTTTCTCTAGTAGAATGTACTGTTGGGTTTTGTTTGTTGATGCATTCTGCCAATCTGTGTCTTTTAATTGGGGAACTGAGACCATTCATACTACTGAGTTATTACAGAAAGCTGTTGACTTAATTCCTGTCACTGCATTATTTTCCCAATGCTCATCCCCATTGCCTTCTCTTCTGTAGCTGATCACCCTGCCTGGTGTATTCACTCTATTAGACTTGTTTGCTTCATTGTCTCTTTCTGATATGTCCTT